GTCCCATCCCCTTCTATTTTATTTATAGTAAAAAAAATTTTTTTAAACTGTTCTTCCTTCTTCCTTGAATTTATTATAAGAAATTATAATAAAAATAATCAATAGACAAAAGAACCTGGGACATGAAAGAATGGGACAAAAAGTAGAAAAATGCTCTCAAGATGATACTTTCTCTTGAACATCAAGAAGCTACCTGAATTGTTGTGCCATATACAAAAGAAGGTTTCTGTACATTCAACACTGTCTAAATCAAAGGTTTTTCTTGTTATCCAGTAATCAGTGGCAGGGACCATGCAAATATAAAACAAGAATGGGTGGAAAATGAAAAGAAATATGAATCAACGTGAGAAGATGAATAAGGACTTCGGTGCATAAAAAAACAGTGAGGAAAAGAAAATTCTCATATTCTCGATCTACTTCTCAGGAAGTCATATCTCTGAACTTAGGGCGTCCATTGCATTTTTTACCTCTACTTATTTCACTAGATGCTTTATATGTATTATAGAGAGGTTAGTTCTTTGCTTGGTAGTTGAAATGACAGAAATGAAAAAATACTATTAGGGATATTATGAGTAATGAGTCACAGAAAAAATGTTCGTTGCAAGTTGGAAACATTAAAATGGGCATTGGGCAAATAAGTTAAATAAGTTTCTGTAATAAAATTTGCACACTAAAAAGCTTACTTAACCTTAAATCTAAGCATAGTACAAAGTATGGTTCTACTCAAAGTTGTACCTGTTTTCTTTTAGGGATTAATCAGTTTATGAAATAGCATACCTAATGAATAACACCACAAAGAGTAGCAAGTAAGTTCTTTTTTAAAAAACTCATTTTGGAGGAAAGGAGTAGGGGAAAAGTCATATATGTGAATAATCAGTGATGCCAAGTTTCTGAGAAATAAAAATTTCTCTATTTTAGAAGGAATGTGTCCCTCATTTTTTGTTTAATCAATATGAATAAAAAGCATCTGCTCCCTTACCAGCAAAAAAAGACTGACCCATGTCTGGGAGAACAATCTGTACTCAGAAACAATTAACCCAAGTCAGGAAGAACCGCCCATTCAAATTTGAAGGGCTGAAGTTTCCAAACACAGCTGTTTTCTGTCAGGCGTCTTCCTTCAACTCAGTGGTGGCATGGCTACAGCCCAAAGAACCTGTGGCAGGGATGCCAGCGTGAAGCAGCGGCAGAAGTCTATGAACACAGTATGGTGACACTGGTATCAGACTCACTTCTGTGTGGTGGGATTCTGCCTTCAACAATTCACTAGGCTTCATGAAGATGCCTTCTATGGTTTTCCATAGTAGTTCTGGTTTGAGTGGGCCATGCCATGCACTTCTTTTGGCCCACTGATAGTTCAGCCATATTGTTCACCTGTGCACCTGTGACAGCAGAACACGATTGGAGGAATGCTTGGACCACACCTCACCATCCTCACCAGCAGGGCCCATTACAAAGCACTGTCCAGTCATTCAGATAATCACCTTCGCCTTCCTCACCCAAAGCACTCACTTCCTGATTTCCAGAAAAAGGTGAGGTGACTGTGGAGGTGACTAAGAGGTGACTATTGAGGTTTCTGCCAATGCTGACATGTGTCAGTCTGATGGACTGGCCACATCGAGTGGAGATTCCCTTCTCACATACAGTGGCAGTCTTCCCCATATCCTCCAGTAAATGCTGCAGTCACCTACAGCAGTCACATTTGTTGCTGACTGTTGTCCCCCACCTGACCCATAGTGCCCTTGGTGAGTGTAGTCACATATTGTGGCATGTATTGAGTAGCACAGAGCTCCAACATGCAGCACACCATAAACCCTGAATGAAATAGTGTTATCACAGTCATCCTGGCTGCTTCCCCAAATCCTTACTTAATCGTTAAAAAAGTACCTGTTCTCGTAGTCAAACTTACATTATACACGTAGGAAAAGCTGTCATGTGTCCTTAAATCAATAGCTAGGTAATTTACAATGAATTTAGTTTTTCTTGGTTGAAATGATGCATTGATAGGGCATGGTGATTGTCAAGGGAGTTGTATTCAACACAGTGTGGCCAGAGTTCCAGGGCTCAGTAAACAAGAATAGGCAATAATAAAGTCTTTTAATGACCATTCACACAGAAATATCCTCATTTTTTATGGTGCCAAGATTTGAACTTTGTGATTTATTGATTTTTTAACTTGCCCAGTTTATAGTTGCTTTGTGTTTATTTTTCCTGGTAAAGCAAGAATTGAGCAAGTTCTAAGAAGCTGCCTCAAGATGTACAATAAAATGTACTTTCAAGTAATTTCTTCCTTTGCTTTACATTAAATTTATACATTAAATTTGCTATACATTAAATTTATACATGTCACTCTTTATACTACATCGAGATGTACTATTTCATAGCAAACAAGTGAAGGATATATTTCCTAAAACAGTGGACTTTTAATTAATACTCTAGTTGATCCTACTGAGTGTGTACATTAAAATGTTCATAACCTACTTGCTTCATGAAGCCTAACAACCATTGGTTTTAAAACACATTTTTGATGCCTGAAAATCTAACTTATGATAAACAAGAAGATGAAAAATAGTGTAACTGTTTGTTATCAGAGCAATTAATACGAATTGTATAGCAGAACTTCTTTAGGTCGAGTCCAGCCAGATACGTTGTGGGGACACTAGTGCCAGCGAATCTTCTGTCAATTTGCTTCTAAACTACTCACCCTTGTATTGTGGTACTTGGCTAGGATGTGCGTTTCTAAGTTGATACCATAGCGGGCGCTGATGAGAGGTAAGAGCGTGTGGACGCTCTGATGCAGTTGGTACGTTTAAGTGCTTCCCGCTCATACCCGTTGGGGCTGACTTTTTAACTGCCATCTGCCTCGCGGGTCTGGCTTCCTATTCTGTCTGGTGCCCCCTGGTGCTCACCACCTACTTGTACAGTCTTGAGTTGCAAAGAGCCAAGGGGTCTAAGAGAGCTCAAGGATGCTTTCAAGAAAAGCATTCCATTACTGTGAACGCTAAGGATCCACATTTCTTCTACGTGCAAAGCCACAGAATGAATTATATATGTACACTCCTGCACCTCCAGAGAAAGCGGGAGTGTTGTTTTGCTAAACTATAAGCAAAAGAAAGATGAAATTAAGTTTCAACCAACTAGGTAGAAGTCATCCCAACTCTCACAGATTGTGGTAAAAGATAGAAAGATATGCAGATTTTATCTTTTTCACAAATCCATACCCTCCCCCCCGCCCCCCCAAAGTTCTTCTTCTCCTCCCCCCCACCCCCCCAGCAAAGCAAAGAGTTTGCTATGATCCTTGATTTCATTAGGGCAGCCAGCCCATCTTTGAGAGCCAGAATATCTGTGTTGGGCTGGAGCTGAAAATGTAGCCTTAATTGTTACGGAAGGGAGGGAGGCGCTTAGAAGATAATTCTTCTAACCATTTAATCAATATTAGTATCATGCGCAATCTTCACAAAGTTTCTTTTTACCCTTAGGGAGGAATCTTTAGCTCCTCTGACTCTCAAGAGTTTAGGCTCTGGTTCTCCTGCTTTGCCTTTCCCCTCCACCCCCACACCCCTACAGTTCCTCAACACTACTGCGTCTCTCTCCATTAAAGATGAACAACAGATCATTTTTCATTGCATGGCAACCCTAAAAGCTCTCCCTCGCCTCAGCAGAGCATGATGGGAGTCTCTCCTCTAGTGGTGTCCTCCCACTTCTTTTTTTTTCTTCCTTTTCTTCTTCCACAATTAATCCCTAAATAATGATTTTTCTAACTAGCGCTGATTTAAGTATGGGGTTTAGCGACCCGGTGACGCTCCCATCAGCCTTCCAGAAGGGGCGGTTTCCAAGGAAAACTACAACTCCCATGAGGCCTCAGGCTGGGGCAAACGCAGGGCATCACGGAAGTCGTAGGTTCCTTCCTCCTCAGTCCCTGTCATTCCTCAGACGCCGAGACTACAAGTCCCAAGGAACCTCGGTACTCCTACGCCTGCGCAAGAGCCCCGAAAGGGAGGTGGGGGTAGGGCTGCCCCGGGCGGCGGGGGGCGGGGTCGGAGCGGGCTGTGTGGAGGCTTGAGACTCCCGGCGCCATTTAGCGCGGAGAGTTTCCCCGGCGGACGCGGCTCTTCTCACTCGGGCCACTGTGTACCCCCATCTTCGGTGACAGAAGGCGCCTGGTGGGGGTGACTACTCTTTTCTCTCCCTACCCCCCTTCACCCAGTCCTCTCGGTCTCCTTTACTCTCGGCCCAGAGAAGCAGCGGAGCCCGGGCTCCGCGGTGAGCGGCCCTCCCCTCCCCACCGTTCCCTCCCTCCGTCAGCCCCCGGCACCGGCCCGGGAGGAGACCGGGGTTTGCCAGGCCCGGGGCGGGCGGGGAGGCCTCGGGGAAGGGGGGGCCCGCTCCTCAGGCATCGAGGCTTCGAGGCTTCGGCCCTTCGCATCCGGGCGATGGGCGCCCGGTGAGGCTGGTCCCCCGAGCTGGGGGCGCGTGTGGGAGGAGGCGACCGACTGACTGACTGACCGGGAGCCGGACCCGGCCCTCCCTCGCCCTTCCCGGCCCCTCCCACTCCTTCGGCCCTGGAGCTGCCACCGCTCGGGAGTCCGGGCTTGTCCCCTCCTCGCGGTGCCGCCGCCCTCAGGGCCTAGCCCGCCCTGCCGGGGAAGCGGCGGCCGGGAGCTGGAGCCGCGGCGGCGTCCGCCGCATCCGCTTCGACTCGGTGCCGGCTTCTGGCCCTGCCCCTCATGACTGCGGCGCCTCAGCTGCTTCTGCCTTCCCGGCCGCCGCTCGCCGCAGGATGGATGCGGACCGTGAGGCGCTAACCCCCGTGGCTCAGCTCCTCGATCGCCCGCCGACGAGCCCGCCGTGTGAGCCGCAGCAGCCGCCGCAACAGGGCCGGGTGTCCCGCCTCTCCTCCGGGGCGGCTTGTCAGTGCTGAGCGAGGAGGCGGCGTCCGGCTCGCACCGAACCCGCCGGGGAGCAGGCGCCCCCGGAGCGCGACTGCCGACGACCTCCTCCGCCCCTCGGAGCCGGCCCCCCGTCGGGTCTTCACTCACAAATTCGAGCCCGCTCGCCTCGCTCGGCGGACCGACCATGTCTGGCGGCGCCGCGGAGAAGCCGAGCAGCACTGCGAGTTCCCTGTTCCTCTCGCCGCCGGCCCCGGCCCCCAAGAATGGCTCCAGCTCCGACTCCTCCGTGGGGGAGAAGCTGGGCTCCGCGGCCACCGATGCGGCCACCGGCAGGACCGAGGAGTACCGGCGCCGCCGCCACACTATGGACAAGGACAGCCGCGGGGCCGCGGCGACCACGACCACCACGGAGCACCGCTTCTTCCGCCGCAGCGTCATTTGCGACTCGAACGCCACGGCGCTGGAGCTGCCCGGCCTCCCTTTCTCGCTGCCCCAGCCCAGCGCCGCCGCGGTGCCCCCGCAGAGCGCGCCCCCGGAGCCCCACCGC